TTTACAAATTTACAAAATTACAAAATTTACAAAATTTACAAAATTATACAAAATTTACAAAATTTACAAAATTTACAAAATTTACAAAATTTACAAAATTTACAAAATTTACAAAATTTACAAAATTTACAAAATTTACAAATTTACAAAATTTACAAAATTTACAAAATTTACAAAATTTACAAAATTTACAAAATTTACAAATTATACAAAATTTACAAAATTTACAAAATTTACAAAATTTACAAAATTTACAAAATATTACAAAATTTACAAAATTTACAAATTTATACAAAATTTACAATTTACAAATTTACAAAATTCACAAAATTTACAAAATTTACAAAATTTACAAAATTTACAAAATTTATAAAATTTCTAAGATTTCCAAAATTTCCAAAATTTACAAGTTTTACAAAATTTCCAAAATTTCCAGTTTTCAAAATTTTCGAAATTTTCAATATTTTTAACAAAGATTAAATAAGAAAAAAAGATTTTAAAAATTTGACATTTTCAAAATGTCCAGTTTTTAAAATGCCGAAATTATTCTGAATTTTGCAAATATCCGATCTTTTCAACATTTACAAATGTATGAAAATCTATTATCTCAGAAACAGAATGAAATGCGGAAACATGCAGAGTAAAAATGCCGAAAAATATCGCTTAAACTTTTTTTGACGTTTCAGAGGTTCCTGGATATTTAAAAAATTTCCAAAATTTCCTAAATTTCCATAATTTCCAAACATTCCAAAATCTCCGAAATTCCCAAAATTTATAACATTTCCAAAATTTTCAAGATTTCTAAAATTTCCAAGATTGCCAAAATTTACAGGATTTCTAAAATATCCAATATTTTCAAAATATAAAAAATTTCAAGCTTCAACATTTTCAAAATTTTATATTTTCAATGTTTCCAGTTTTTAAAATGTTCAAAAGATTTTTCCAAAATATACAATATTTTCAAATTTCCAAAAGATTCAAAATCGATTGTCTCAGAAAACAGATTGAAATGCGGTAACACTGTGCCTCGCCAGTGCTCTGATTGGCCAAAGAAATTCAAATAATATTCGAAAATGGATAATTAAGTGGTATCAGGATCATTATACGAGGGATGTCTTTTAAGTTTTGCATATAGAAACATAGTATTCCGCGCGGATCGAACGTCAGTACTGAATCTTAACCTCACTCTTTAGTAAACTTAAATTCAAAGTTTCACATTCGTGCAGTATTCTCACTACAGTGAATTTTTAAGTGTCACCGTGTTGTTTTATTTCCATATGTAAAACTTAAAAGACATTCCTCGTATATGTATTTGCCAAATGAACCTGACTAACCGAACAACAGCGATTAAACAAAAGAATTCCTCCCTCAATCCTTCTTTCTTATCCCTAGCAAATCCAGATAGTGAATAAAAGCGGTATCTATCGCTTATTGCAACTTAATCCCGTAGTAAGAGGGATTAAAAATATATTAGCTTTTTCGATGAAGAATATAATTGCTGCCAAGATCCAAGTCGGCCTTCTATCTTGCTTCTAGATCCTTGAATCGTGTGTAGTTTAAAATTATTGCCAGAGCGGTGGAGTTGAAGTTGCAAACTTCATTACTTCGCTGAATAATCCGATAGGTAAGAGCAGATAAAAGGGAGATTTAAGGCTTTGGGAGTTACAGCGTTTTTTACACACCGTGAAAAACGAGGCTTCTGGAACACAGTAGCGAGGTGGAATTGTTTTTTTGACTAGTTTACATGCGGTATGAAGCTAAATTGAGACCTAGTGTGTTGTTGATACTTTTTTAAAATATGTCTTGTATTAAACTAAATTCTGAAAAAATCAAAATTTTGAGTTTTGAAAATCATGAAAATTTCAACAATTTTGAAAATTCAGAAAACTGGAAATAATCAGAATTTCGGGAAAATTTTTAAAATCTTGAAATTTTTTGCAAATTTCCAACATTCTCAAAACTGAAAAATTATTAAAATCTTGGAAGCTTCGAAATTTTGATGATGATGAAAATTTTGGAAATTTTGAATATGCTAAAAAATGATAATTTTTAAAAAGATTTCACCTTTTGAAAATTGATTCTAGAAATGTTGAAAATTTCGGTAAACAACTATTAAAATAATTAATAAGTTTAAAAATTTTTAAAATTCTTAATGTTCTAAAAGCTGAGGATTTTGAAAGCTTCAAAAATTTGAAAACTATGATTTTGGAAATTTTGTATATACTAAGTGACATATAAATCCGAACACCCAGTTTAAATGGTTTTATTTTAATAAAATTTTGTATGAGTACTTAATGAAGCATAATAAGTAAATGATAAAAATTTCAAAATGATTGCACTGCTTTAAAGCCCTTTGACCTTTAATAATGTGTGGATGCACCCTGATGTGCTACGCATTCTCCAACGCGCCTAGGCATGCTTCTGATCAGGTGGTCAATGTCCTCCTGTGGTATCTCATTCCAGGCAACACCAACTCCTCTCGAGGTGCTTCTAGGGTCTGAAGGGGACGTTGCAAATTGAGCAACCTCCTACCCATCATATCCCACACGTGCTCAATTGGGGATAAGTCGGGAGATCTTGGTGGCCATGGTAACAATGTGACATCATTATGTTGAAAGAAGTCTATTGTGACTCTTGCAACATGTGGTCGGGGCATTATCTTGTTGGAAAGTTGGATCTGCAAGGGTGTCAAGATAGGGTAAAAGATGGGGTTCTAGAACTTCGTGGATATAACGCTGCGTGCGCGTTCATGTTACATCTGATGAAGATTAAAGGTGACCTGGAACCATAAGCTATAGCACCCCAAACCATAACTCCAACAGTGTGATGAACATGTCTTTCAACAAAAAACTGTGGATTCCTCCTTTCACCACGTCGCCTTCTAACCCTGGCACGACCATCGTGCATGCCTAAACAAAATCGAGACTCGTCACTAAAGACAATACTGTTCCATTCCTGATCCCAGAGTGACCGTTGTCTGAACCACTCAAGGCGATTACGTCGGTGTTCTCGAGTTAAAGGGAGGACCCAGTGTGGCCGGTATGAAAACGAGCCAAAACTTCTCATTCGTCGGTAAACACTTCGCATGCCAATAGGTCTTCCGTGTTCTGCAAACCATTCATTTGCAATGGACCTGGTAGTGGAGAAACGGTCCCTTAAGGCCAATAATCTTAGGCGGCGATCTTCACGGTCTGTTGTTCTACGGCGGCGTCCAGTGCCCCTTGCTCTTTGCGTACGGCCTTCTCGAAGCCATGCCTTTTATTAAAATAAAACCATTTAAACTCGGTGTTCGGATTTATATGTCACTTAGTATATTTTGAAAAAGGAATATTTCAAAAGTTTTTAGGTTTTGAAAATAGCTTTTAGAAATTGCGGTAATCAATTTTTTGAAATCTTGAACATTTTGTAAATATTGTATATTTGGAAAATTTTTGATAATTTAAAATATTTAAAAGATTGAAAATGTCGAAAATATTGAAAACTGGAAATTTTTAACACTGAAAATTATGAAAATCTTGAAACTCTTTGAAATTTTGCAAAACTCCCAAATTTTGAAATGTAGCATTTTCAAAATGTTCGAAATTTTCAAATTTAAAATTTTTAAAATGTTTGATATTTTAAAAAGGTGTCGAAAATCACTCATGTGCATCATAGAATTATAAAAACAAGGAAAATTTTTGGAAAACGTTTTGAAAATTTTCAAATTTGGAAAACCTGTGCTCCTATAGCTCATTTTCAAATGCAACTGCAAATTCTTCCCTCAAGCAAGAGCTATTTGTTTAAAATCCAAGGCACGCAATCCCCAAGGAACATCTATAAATGTGATCCCAAACCACACGTTTAACAAGACCCTTAGTCAAACATAGAAAACTCAAAGAAACTGGGTCTGTTAAAGTCATCTGTTATAAGAAGCTTAACTATCTTTTATCTCTTCTCTTCTTCAAGAGGCAGCGAAAGTTGAAATATCTTATTAGGCATGGAAAAACTTTTAACAACCTGTTTACGTTAAAATATTACCGAGGAACAAAGTTTTCTAACTTATTTACAGGAGTTTAAATGCAAAGGTACGTCTTTTATCAAGTTTATGCGGTTTGGCGTTCTGTTGATATTCCCGTTAGATTTTATGGAAATTCTGATGCTGAAAAAGCGAAACGTAGATCGAAATGAGACAATACAAAGCGCCATCTATCTGTCTCAGTTATAGTTTATATACTTGCTAACCCCGCCCCCAATTTTTACCCACAGAAACGTTTTCAAAAATGATCGGGGTCCTCTGAAACGTCAAAAATCAATCTTGGAACCTTAGAAAACTTTGAAACTTGGAAATTTTCAAACCTCAAGGTCAACATGGGAGGCTCCAATTAAAAAAATCGACTTGACACTAAAATGACCTTGGCCAAGGTCAAATCCAAGATCATCATTGGGGTTACGGAGCTTTTCAGCAAAACCGTCCAATGAAATGACGAACAACCTGAAAAATCCTCGTAGACAATTGCGAATTCCAAGTTCCTGTGACAAGATCCCCGAGCAAATCTCTGCACTTGCGATCGAATCCAAGTTGGCTCTGCCAGCGTCGTTCTCTTGTTTCCAACGCCATCTGCATTATTAACACCTACTAGGCAGCTACTTCCAGAGCCGTCTACGTTTCCGATGTTTATTTCCATTTTAAACGTTAACGTATGGGCTTTTCGCGATCTTGGAGGAACGTTGAACTTTAACGGCTGCGTTTTCGAGGAGCGTGACTAGTGCTATATGGAAGTTGGAAGTTTCCCGGAGAGCTAAAGTGGCGAGGAAATTAAGACGGCCGTTATATGTGGGATGTTTAAGCGGTGATACAGGGTAGTTTGACCAGCCTTAGATTCTTGTTGTCGAAACGTTAGTCCTAGCCCAAAGTCGTTGTCTCATATACAATATTGATTTCCACGTTTTGCAAAGTATTAGATCATGGTAACAGTGGTCGCTTTTGTCGCGGATTTAACATATTTTCAATTTTGTTACAGGATACTCGCTGCTAGCTTGGCCTCAGGGTCTGCCCTACGTAGAACTGAACTGCAGCCTGGGACTAACTGGCGCAGCTTTTTTGCTGTTGCCAATCTTCATATCAGTGGCTGTGCTAAAGGTTAGTACTGAATATTTATGTCTAACAAAAGATATCACTCACCGGAGAGGCATGATGACATTGCCAGCAGTAGGGGAACTATACTCATTCTGGAATCAAAATTACTTTAAACTGCCCCTTGGCCTATGTTTCCAATGTGGAACATGCTACGTAACAACGCACGCTGTTGAACATGGGCGGCGTGAACATTTTTTCAATGGGGCATTTTTATTCCACAATGAAAATAATTGACATTTTGTGTTAGAAAAAGCACTTAAGTAGATAAATTCTTAGACTCAGCTCAACTGTCTTAAGTTTTAAGTGTACCTGATGCATCAAAAACATAAAAGTTAATATTCAGTTTAGCTTAAGGTTGACCTTAGATAAAATATTGAAATTCATATTGTACTTAAAAAAAGTTGAAATACAAAAAAGTTATCTGAAAGTACGTGAAATCTAGGAGGCTGAGGGACTGGCAAAACAAAAGAAAGAGAGTTAGCTTGTCAATCGTTTTTTTTTTATCAACACTCGGCTTATACTACATGATTTGATCGTGACTGGAGTTAATAATGGGGTGCAAGGTGCAAACATTCATACTGTCGGAAGCAAAACAAAGAATTTTCGATAAGAACAGATGAAAATATTCAAGGCTCGTCGTGTAATTCATTTGTGAGGCACGCTGTGTTCCCGCTATCTTTCATATCTAGCTGCATAACTGCAGACTGCATTTGTGTGCAGCAAAAAAGAGCGTTTTTGCATGTTCTACAGAATATAGTCTAGTACATTAGGTCTTGTAAGTGAAATCCATATTTATACGACGAAAACGATATACACCGTAATTAATATATGTCATGTGGGTAATATTCGAATACTTGGTATTTTGAATGCTATTCAGAATACATGTCGCTAGTATTCGAATAGTATTCGATACTTGTGCGTATGGTGTTTGCTATTCGATTGGATACTCTTTTTGTCAGTACTCGGTATTCTGGAGTCTGAATACCATTTCTGAATCCCACTATTCGAATACCCACTTTGTATTGGAATTCGAATATTGTTTGGCTATTCTTATAAATATTGCGTTATGCTTTACCCAAATAAGCGTGTGTGTGTTAAGGTAGATATACAGGGTGACTTTCAAGTTGAGTCATTAATTTTCAGATAATGATTGTAGAAGGAAGATAAACCAAAATATGTGTGTAAAAATAAAAAAAAATGTGATCCTCCCGACAAGTATTTCAGTGCGGACCTGTATTTGATCGTGCGGTCTTGGAGCACCGGCATGCCGTCCCCTGTGAGGTCTTAAGTCACCTGATTCACGAGCCCTTTGTACTACATTCAGAATTTTCGTAAACATGTGCAATTTTTTATTTCGTTTGAGCCATGCAACAAACACCACTATTCACTCACGCGTTACCGACTGACACATCGACTGAATACAACTGAATAAAATTGTACATTGTAGTAAAAACATCGTTTCAAATTCTTTCGCTTTTTGGTTTCCGATGCGATGAACGGATAAGGCGGATTATATCCGTTGTTGCCAAACATGAGCACATAATATTATTATTGAGACAGGGCGGTACTCAAACATCTAAATGGCTATAACTTTGTTACTTTAATTTTATACCAGAAAAATTTTAAAGGAAAAAAACATTTCTTTTGATCAGATGTACTCACTGTTAAAATAAATGACTCAACTTCGGAGTCACCCTGTATAAAAAGGTAAGTTTATTTTTCAATTGTGTAAGTACTTTGTGTAAAATTCATATATCTTCTTATTATTTTTGTTCGATTAATTTCTAGAAAACCTAATAAAAGTCAAATAATGTTTTTTATTATACAATTAATTTGTCTAGCCTCACTTGTGTGAATCAAATGTATTTTCATTTTTCTATATATTTTTATATCTCAAGTACATAAATCAAAACGAAGTTTAAAGTGCACACAGGTTTTTTTAGTTGGAATATTCAAAAAGTATTCGTATTTAATTGATCCAAGTATTCAAAACAACTGTTCGAATACCTTTTTTTCCTTCGTATTCGAATACAATTATACAGTATTCAGGATTCGTATTCGAATACAGGATTTCAGTATTCGAGCAAAGTCTGCAAGATACCCAACCCAAGAGGAAATTCTGATATACGAAATCTTATGAGTAATTATCGAGAAGTCTATTGGAATAAGTCAGCACCCAGCGCCATCTATAGCCAGAATCTACCAATGCGAGAGTATAGCAGCTATAGGTTGGAACTGTAAGAATCTCAGTTCGCCTGTGTGACCGCTAGAGGCTGACGATTCTGGTGGCTGTTAGGTGCGGTCTACTACTAGAACTAACCGTCTATCGTTGGCTGTTGTGGTCGAATGGACGAAAGCAGTATGTTTAATTATAGGGAGGCTTTAGGGATAATCTTGTCCTGGAAGGTTATTTATGATAACCAACGATTGTCACATAATACTAATGAAGTACGTTTATTGGGCTTAGCATGTGCTATCCTGCTGTATTGGAATACGAATATTGTTTGGCTATTCTTATAAATATTGCTTTACGCTTTACCCAAAATAAGCGTGTGTGTGTTAAGGTAGATATATAAAAGGTAAGTTTATTTTTTAATTGTGTAAGTACTTTGTGTAAAATTCATATATCTTCTTATTATTTTTGTTCGATTAATTTTCTAGAAAAACCTAATAAAAATCAAATAATGTTTTTTATTATACAATTAATTTGTCTAGCCTCACTTGTGTGAGTCAAATGTATTTTTAATTTTTCTATATATTTTTATAACTTAAGTACATAAATCAAAACCAAGTTTAAAGTGCACACAGGTTTTTTAGTTAGAATATTCAAAAATTATTCGTATTTAAATGGAAATAAGTCAGCACCCAGCGCCACCTATAAGGATAAGGATCTCAGTTCGCCTGTGTGACCGCTAGAGGCTGACGATTCTGGTGGGCTATTAGGTGCGGTCTACTACTATAGAACTAACCGTCTATCGTTGGCTGTCCTGTGGTCGAATGGACGAAAGCAGTATGTTTAATTATAGGGAGGCTTTAGGGATAATCTTGTCCTGGAAGGTTTTTTTATGAATAACCAACGATTATCACATAATACAAAGTACGTTTATTGGGCTTAGCATGTGCTATCCTGCTGTTAATCGTCAGCGGTGAACCTTTCACTGAGCGTCAATTCCATGACTTTTTTCTGGGACTATGCCTATCCGGACATTTAAAAATTTTTGAAATTTCGAAATTATTGCAAATTTTAATATTTTGGAAATTTTGAAATTCTTGGAAAACCGTCAACAGTGAACTTCAATTCCAAGTTTCTTTCTGGGACATTGCCTGTTCGAATTAAGCTATTATTCCGGTCATTTTGGGCTATTTTTGAAATTTTGAAAATTCTAGAAATTTTGGAAAACCGTCAGCGGCGAGCCTTTCACTAAGCGTCAATTCCAAGTATTTTTCTTGAACCTTGCCTCTTCGAACTCACTATACTACGCACCATGTGGAACAGTACCTAACACGATACAACTTGTCGGAAATTTTGGAAATTGTGGAAATTTTAAATTCTGGCGATTTTGGAAATTTGGAGATCTTGGGAATTTTGGAAATTCTGTAAATTTTGACATATCTGCAAAACCGTCAGCGATCAGCCTTTCACTAAGCGTCAGTTTCAAGTTTCTTTCTAGGATTTTGCCTCCTGGAACTGAACTATTATTCATGCATGTCGAAAAGGACGCCCTCACAATATACTACGCTTCGAGCGGAATAATACCTAGCACGATTCAACTTGTAGATACGTACGGCATGTATATAAAATACCCGACCTGCCTCCACTCCACACCGGTTGAGTATTCCTCGGCCTCGGCGAGCCTAG